TATGTCTAAGTCATACTTTTACGACGACCTCATATTGCTCGCTCCGATTGGTCATAATTTATCACCTCGCTCGAAATTAGCAATTTTTTATTCCTGTCCGTAGCTTGTAAAATATTAAGATAATATTAAATTGCAATGAAAAATAAATTGTTTGAATAAAATAAAATTACAATAAAAAATAAATTATTTAAATAATATAAAATTCCAGTAAAATAAATTGCTGTTTATGACTATACCATTTTTTAGGAAGAATAATGTAAATTTGCGCATTCATAACGCAGTTTAAATCATTGTGTTGCTTTACCGATATATACGTACGCACGTTTTATTTCGCAAAACTATGCGAGAAAGAGATTTGTGTTGCCATCTACCAAAGGAATCATAAACTTACTGTTTCAAACAATAATTCATGTCAGTATAAATTCAATTTTTCTAAAATATTAAAATTACAGAATTATTTAACATATGTTATAAATATTATCATCACCAATAGCTCTTATAAAATATATTTTAATTCATACTTAAAAAATTGTATGAACTTTAATTAAAATTATATTATTATAAAGTGTAAAAAAATTCATTATTAATGTAAAAATATAAACAATTTCTTTGTTCATATATCAAACTTAATTTGATAATAATCGATAGCAATAGTCAGTAGGAATTCCAATTAATATTACAAATTTTATTTGATTATTTTGTATTATTTCGATCTGACATTAATTTTGCCTAAAACATTATATCAAAATATATTGCACCCTTACATGTCCTGCATATGCAGGAGATTAAAATGTTTATGTATACAAAACTCTTCCTGCATATCATATCATCTTACTTTACAAGATGTGACACATGAAGAATCCAATTTGGACAGTAGCCAGAAATTTTCCGTTTAAAAGCTCGAATGCACGTTCACTCGGGAATGCAATTATCATTCGTTGATATCTAGACTGACCTGCCTGCAAATTTGTAGAGGGTAACGAATGGAAAGTTCGCGATAACTTCCGCGGAAGTTCGCTGATGTAGAGAACAGGTTTTTCTCTTTTCTTCCAATATTTTGTATCAATATTTCATTATTAATCGTAAGTCAATCTATTTTATATTTCTCATTTATATAAATTTCCTTGTTTTTTAAAAAAATATTAAAACGCGAAATAAATATAATATCTATTAAATACAAAAAAAAATGTCATTTAATGTACCATTATATTATTCTATACAAGTATCATTCCAAATGTCTTATTCTTGCAAAATTAAAGATTAATATATGAATTTTAAATGCTTATAATTAAATTTGAAAATCAATACATTAAGTTAAATAAATTATACATATTTTTTATGACAATATATATTGCATTATAAAAAAATTCTTTTATAAAATTATATATTTAGCTTGTTACTGCAATAAACAAGTATATATTCTATCTCTCTGTGCCGACTAACATTATAATAAAAATGCTCTAAATCTAAGCAACAGGATATATTTTGTGCACTTACTGTATTAACCAAGGGTAGCTTTAACCAAACGACAGATTGAGACTAAAGGGCACGATACGTTCGAAGGGTTGATGCGTAAAGGAGAAATATACGGCTTACCACCTAGCGACGCCAGTATCGATCAGTCCCACACGCGTACATTCTAACTGCGTCGGGATATTTGGCGACGAATATCTCCATGATTATCCATCCAGATCAGATTGTATTTCCCTTTAAAAAAGGGGAAAATTCTCAACTATAATCGGCAGCCTTTTTTAAAGATTCAAGATATCCTACAGGTGTATTTACATATCAAATACAACAAAAAGATAAATATGATTTAAAAGAACTTTTTAAAATAATTATTTAATTTATCAAAATTATAGACAACATTATATTGTATATGATATTTATATATATATAAAAAGAAAGAAAGATTGTATTTTTACATTACATTAAACAATTAAAAAAATATTAAAACGCGAAATAAATATAATATCTATTAAATACAAAAAAAAATGTCATTTAATGTACCATTATATTATTCTATACAAGTATCATTCCAAATGTCTTATTCTTGCAAAATTAAAGATTAATATATGAATTTCAAATGCTTATAATTAAATTTGAAAATCAATACATTAAGTTAAATAAATTATACATATTTTTTATGACAATATATATTGCATTATAAAAAAATTCTTTTATAAAATTATATATTTAGCTTGTTACTGCAATAAACAAGTATATATTCTATCTCTCTGTGCCGACTAACATTATAATAAAAATGCTCTAAATCTAAGCAACAGGATATATTTTGTGCACTTACTGTATTAACCAAGGGTAGCTTTAACCAAACGACAGATTGAGACTAAAGGGCACGATACGTTCGAAGGGTTGATGCGTAAAGGAGAAATATACGGCTTACCACCTAGCGACGCCAGTATCGATCAGTCCCACACGCGTACATTCTAACTGCGTCGGGATATTTGGCGACGAATATCTCCATGATTATCCATCCAGATCAGATTGTATTTCCCTTTAAAAAAGGGGAAAATTCTCAACTATAATCGGCAGTACATATCTAACTAATGAACACAAGCCTTTTTTAAAGATTCAAGATATCCTACAGGTGTATTTACATATCAAATACAACAAAAAGATAAATATGATTTAAAAGAACTTTTTAAAATAATTATTTAATTTATCAAAATTATAGACAACATTATATTGTATATGATATTTATATATATATAAAAAGAAAGAAAGATTGTATTTTTACATTACATTAAACAATGTTACGCGTGTAATACATATGCACTTATAGTTTATATAAATTAAAATAAGAGAGGAAAAATATATGTCATAGAAAAACTTTATTTTATAATTAGAATTCTCTATGCTAAAAAGTTGTTTTACAATGTAGCAAATGGTGATATCGATCAGTCGCGTTTCCTTCTATTTATACATGTAGTATTTAAATAGATTATTTTTCCATGAATATATTAATACGTTAGTCTTTTAATACGTTTTTCTACTTTCGCAATTAGAACATTTTATAACAATTACAGTTTATCTACAATTTTTTTTATAATCACATATGTATATCACTTGTTACAAATATGTCACATCGATGGAAAAGCACTGTTTCTTCATGCTGTAGAATATTTCATTCATATTTACTTAAAGCTCATAATAAGCTTGCGACATGCATTTCACACACAAGAGAAATGTCATTAATATTTAATAACAAATTGATTGGTTGACTTTGAGTCCGCTATTAATACAGACAACGATCAGCTGAAATATTGATTGAATAACCAAAACGCATTTTTCGTATTTCAGTCGTTAATTTTATTGGTAAACGGCTGTCGATCACCCATGACATTTTGACATGTACATACATGCAGCGTTGAAAGGTCATACGCGAATGACGGTCTACATTCGCTATTATTATGTTAGTAAAATTAGAGCGTGCTACAAACGATTGTAAGAGAAAAAAGGCAAGGAAATGGCAGAGGCGTGTGTGTGGTGTGTGAATTGCAACGAAAAAAAAAAGAAAAATTCTCGCACCGCTGAGCTGCAATGTGCATGATTATTAGGTTCAAAAGACTTAATGCACAAAGGCCGCTCAAGGCTGCAGGAAAAATGGATGTCGCGGGAAAAAAAAGGAATTTGTGTCTTTGAAATAAAAGACGTGTGTATTAATTCTTGAACCACACTAGAAACTAATATAACTTAAAAACAATAAAAGTATGTTCTTACAAGAAGATCGATCGCCGGAAGTACCAGAAGTGTAAACGTCTTTATGGTAACCTCGGTTATCATCTCAGTGTATCAACGCAACTGATGTCGTTCTATAAGGGAGATTAACAGGATAATTCTTGGTATATATTCAGAAACATCATTCTATCTGCACACAACTATTCAATCATGACTGTCCTTCACATAAATCGCATGATAATGCACGTTTCGTGCACCTATTGCTGTATAGCTATATGCATTAAATCAGCAATTTAAAAGAATTGAAATTATGAAAGTGATATCAAAAGAAGCTAATATGGCATGTGAAGTACATTTGAATTAATTAAATAATTAGAAAATTATCTTAATTAATTCAAGAATAAAAAAAACATACAAAAATATCATAATAATAATGATTATTTTCTTACTTATTTGTATTATAATATATATTTAAACAATTTGATAAATTTATTCGCGCTTTTAAATATCGTAAGCATATTGAATTCAAATTCTATGTTTTTATAGAGAAAAGAAAAAATTTAAAGCATTATCATTTCCTATCATTCATTCAAGATAAGATCAGATTAAGTTTACAATACTTTAATTATACTTTACATATAATTAAAAATGCACTTAAATTGATTTCAAATATCATATATTTCTTAATATCATATATTTTCCCCGCATCAAATATGTTTTCATCTATTTCCAGTGCGATCGTGCGTGCTTCAGATGGGTTGGACATAGATTATGGCATTCCTCTTGGGGTTTGCGAATTCCCAAATGTAATTTTTGGTACTTTTAGGATAGGAAAAAGATACCGTAAATGAATACAAAGTAGCTTATTTCTAAATGGAAGTATTATATTCTTTTAATAGAAGTAATAATATTATATGTTTTAATATATATATATTAAAACATCCCTTGTCTAAAAAACTTGTTAAGATTTTATTATAAAAAATATGTTACAAAAATATTATTAGATATCACATTAGAAATATTATTATACATATAGACATAGATTAAGAAACGATGGAATTTCTATTTTTCTATTATGAAGTCTTTATTTCAATCGTAAAATGTATGGAATATATACATAATACACTTTTTCATATAAACTTATTGTTACAATACTTATATCTCTTTTTATAATTATTTATGAATAATTTAATTAATTGTTTATTTTAAAAATTTGTTTAATGTCGATTATTCACCAAATTTGTTAACAATCCGATACTTTAACATTGATTCAATTCTTTTGTTATCTAAATAAAAAAATAAAGATATTTCATTAGTCATATTTTTCTATTATACATATATTTTATCAATAAAATATGCAGTGATTATCATGCCAATTTATTAATACAAAGATTGAAAAATTAATATAAACAAATAAATTTAAGCAAATCAACCTGCACAGAAATTATATGATACGCGCGCATATATTTACAGTTATTATTGGTAACGGATTTCTTATTAAAGATTATAAAATACTTACATTTTTCTCTATTTTTTGATAACATTCATGTTTTCCCATATATTCTTCGTTTCAATGATGATCGTGATGATCATGATGATTATCTTCCGGAGTCGGTTCATACATATTAAAGAACCCTATGCACCAAATGCAGAAAAATAGTAATAGCAGTAGCCAAGTTATAGAATTAAATCTGTTCCACCCGAAAATAATATGACGAACTGAATTAAGTTGACGTATACGTTCATTTGATTCCGAATAACAAATTGCTGCACTACTTTGATTGTCCGCCATTGTGTCAAATATTCCTATGTTATTCGACGACTGACGAAATATTTGAAATTAGTGACAGATTCATAAAGACACCAATTCTGAACGGATATCGTCATAAGGAATAAATTAGATTAGATTAGATAATATTTATTGATAATTTCCGATTAGTTGCGATTGTAAAACGTTCATCTCGCAGATATGCGCTTATCTATTAAGGAAAAAAAAATAAATTAAATTAATATCAAGATGTAATTGTTATTTCCTGAGTTTGTTATTATGTTAGATATTAACGTTACGATTTTTAACTCGATATATTACTTTATCTCTTAGTCAAATAAAAAACTGCCGCATTGACCAATCTCGACAGAGTCCACAAAGATATATATATGTACAAAAATATATAAGAGTATATTTTATAATATGATATATTATTAGCCGACTTCTTATAAAAAAAAATATATTAATTGATATAATTTATTGTTAAAAAAAAATTATTAAATTTTGATTTTTGAAAGATATATTTACGAGCAACAATCTGTATTGTCATTATTAGTTTTTTCCCACGCAAATAACCAATATCCGACAGCTGTTCCAACTCCAATGGCGATGCAGAGCCAATAGTTGTACGTCATAAAAATAAACATGATAAAATAGGCAAGCACTACCTGGATTACATGTAAAAACGTTTGCAAAAAATGCGCTTTGGAGAACAACAATGCACTGTAATAAACATGTAATAAATATTATGCTAAAATTGTAACATTTTGCAAAAATAATAAAGATTACACACATACTTCCTAGATCTCCTTTGGTTCTTCTTAAGAAACATCGTGCGCGCAAAAAGAAACTCGCTGCAATGCATGCATGATTGATTGCTCATATTTTTATGCGTAGTTAATATTTCACTCACCGATAAGATTTTAGTCCTTCGTATAATGCAGTTAGCAGAATAATGCCAATGACAGAACTAATCATTCCTGACACGTTATTTATATGCCAGCCGTTAAACAGAATCGTCTCCTCGACGCCGCCGTGGAATGTCATCTGCAAGATGCACAATCGTTGTAATTACGATAATTATAAATAAAACGAGTACATAAGTACGAGATAAAGATCCCAACACTTACACTATGCATCTTGCCTTAGAATATTACTGAGGTAAGAGCCAGCACGCACTATTATGAAATTGTCGTGCGAGAAACATCACCTTATCAAATCATAGATATCATATCATGCATTTATCATGTTTGAAGTTAAAATGCTTATCGGAAAAAACAATTTTTTTAAAATCCATATAATGTGTACATTGTCCTCATTTTTTTTATCTAATAAATTCTGTTGATTTAAGATTGAGTTTAACTCAAACATTTATTACTAAACTCTATGTGTGTGAGACAATTTCTAATTAATTATTGTAAACATAAGTAATGATATATATATAGTAATAATAAAAATTACAATTCGTACTATCTCTTTTTTATTTCTTATCGTGCACAAGAGAAAAATTATACTGTCTCTTTCTTTCGTAAAAAAGTCCCCCCTCTCCCCACCCCTATATACTCAATCCAAATATTTTACTTTTATATCAATTTTTCTTTTAGAGATCTCAAAATATGTATGGTGTCACCAGCTATGCATTGTATAGCTTTTAACTAAAAAAAAAACAGAGATTCAAAATTATAAAAAAAAACTTTAAAAGGATATATTAATTTTGTTTTTTATTTTTTGTTGTTTATTTTTAATATGATATAAAGTATTTATATATGTATACACAAAAACTAATATAAAAAAATTATCTCTCAAATGATGTTTATTATAGAAGCCTAGGTTCTCGCGATGAATAGCAATCGCAAGTAGCTCAAAGTGCATGTTGTAGTATCTTATACAATATGTTCCTAAACAATTTTCAAAACGTGCAATTTTATTTTGCATTAATAGTAAATTTGAGCGTGAAAAGTAATTTAAATTATTAACAGATTCTCATTTCTATGCTACTGATACTTTTACGAACATTTGCCCAACTAAAATTCAAGTTTTAAATTGTAACGTCATCATGATGCATGTTGGCACTGCTCACGGTTATATACGCCGGACGAAATCGACGAGTGGATTCGGTACGTGCCGCGACTACATGATATCGTCGGCGAGCTAAAATCCTTCCTGGCTCCTGGTCGTGAAGGGCCAAAGAGTTCTGGATGTTAAGTAAATCGATTTCTCCCCTTTCTCTCCCTCCATCTCTCCGGTTTTCTCCCCCAAGTGCATACGCCGCTACCATCGTCACCCCTTACCGCCCGACGATCAGCCAAGATGCCTGCCCTGCGTGAACGAGACGGGCGCAACCTGTGGCTGATCCTGACCGGCGCGCCTCTCCGCGTACGGAAATTCAGCCACGCTCGATTCTCAAAGCGCTTCCACTTCTCAGTGCCATTCCTACCGTGCGACCGTTTGCGTCGTCAGCTTCTTGCCGAGAAAAACCCCGGCCCGCCGACGTGCGCGACGTGCGGATCATCGTCGACGACGACGGCGATGCGCGTCGGATGCGGATGCATCATCATCGCAGCGAGGGACAGATCGCGTGCGGAGCGTCGCGACGCAGCCTCCGGGGATGATTGTAAGGGATGCCGGCATTTCGGAAGTTGTCGCGGTAAAACTTTAATATTGACAATGCAGCGATCGCAAGCTTAATGAGTTGGACGCATATGGCAATAGAGTGTCAAAAATGTGTCGATATTGTCGAGGAAAGTGGCAACGGCTAGACCGCGAGTGAGAAAGAATTGCGTTCGTTCATGAAGAATGTGTAATTAGCGACGTTTTGTGATTGGTCGCGATGAACATCGGCATCGGCAAAAGATTTCTCCTCAAACCGGATGTCGAATATTGCTCTAATCGATGTTGGATGTAAGAGAAAGGTAAGTGTTTTTTCTTTCCTTTTTTCTTGTAATTTACATCAATTTAAGAGATAATTAATAATTAGAGATAAATCTAATAATTATTTAGTCGTAATTATATGCGAACCGTATTATATGCAAAATTAAAAATTTGTATTCCGATATGTTATGCAAAATCAATAAATGTATAAGATAGAAGAACTAGTTAGTAACTAAAATATTATCATGAACTTTGAATTGCTAGTATTTAACACTTACTCCTATGAGATAGCGTTACAGATTTATTAGCATTCTTATTCAAACGTATCTCTCGCTAAAGAGTCAATATTTTATGACGAAATACGCTGTGTTCAAAGAGATCTTCTCATCTTCTTAAATGTATACACGCGCTAGCTTGCATTTGGATACGTAATCTTTAATAAAATTGATAATTTCAGTTTATTTTTATTCGCCGATAATTTGTTTCCCGGATCTTTGTTAAAAAATTTATGATAAAAGAATAACAATATAGATCTCTAAATGAATAATATTTATTTAATTCATTAATGTATATTGTATTAGATATACATGCAAAAAAATATTGAAATAAGTATAGTTATTTTTCAAGATATTAATTAATTTTTTAATTCTCAAAAATATTAGTAAATATTGAAAAAAATTATAGCATAAATTTTTTTAATCATCTAATGTTGCAATGATAATTTTAATCCTGTTATAATTTGTTTTATAATTCTATTTATTATTTTAATTAAAAAATTTATACATACATTTTTATAAAAAAGATTCGAAAAACTTACACTTACACATTATTAATTACATATCATCCTAAAATAATATATATTATATCTTTCTATATTTCCTTAATAAAATCCAAGACATAATAATATTTTATATACAATGCATTATATACTAAATAAAATAATTTTCTAACATAAGACCGTTTATGTAACAGGTCGAATGAAAACCATTACATACGCGTCGTCCATAATAATTAGCATAAGTCAGAGCATAATTGCATTTAAGTTCCGCGTAGACCTTGGCACAGTACCATATGTCTATTTACGATAATCATTAACAATTTTAATACTAATTCTAATATTCTCGTTCTTTATTTACTCGACAGCAAAAATGAGCGTCACTTGTATATTATATCATGTTTATAGAAATTCTGTATTAAAGAAATCGTCGAAGCGCAAGTGATTACAAAAAATATATTTAAATCAAATTTTTTTATACTAATTACAAAAATTCGATGACAAATCATTATCCATTTATTTTTACAGCTTCTCTTTCGTACGCGATTTTCAGTATTAAAATATATACATATCTATATAATTTTATGTAATATATTATCATTTTTCTTGAAATATTTCTGAGAAAAAGATTCCAAATTTGTCGCTCTAACGTAACAATGCGCAGAAAATCAAATTTATAATAAACAATTTCAAACAATTGCAGTTATTACAACTTAAATGTTAAAATCAAATTAGGCTTTTAATAATTCAAATAATATCTAAAATCAGAAATTATAAATACTGTGTTTCGATATTTATGCAAAGAAAAATATAGTCAATAAAAAATAACAAAAATAATACGAATCACTTTACTGCGATTTAAAAAAGTATAGTAAAGCGCATAAATGTGCGAAATTTATCAAACTTATAAAGACAGACTTTGAAATGTTTTGTTGTAAATATTCTTTTTTCTTCTTCTATGATTCTTGTTATGAAAAGATATTTATTCTGAAAGTATTGATCCAATAGTGAAGCTTGACAAGAATAACTCTTTTGCCTCTGTTGCAATATCTTTTTGAAACAGCTTTATTAAACTTACGAGTAAAGAAATTGTAATCAAATACAATACTCAATTATGTTGCAGATTTAAGTTGATTCGACGTGGAGCGTCGTGTTCAAAGCGATATCAGATATGGAATAGAAGACTGATTAATTACTGTCTATAATTTGTAAAAAAAATACATCCACATTGCGAGCTTCTTAACGTATAATTATATTACGTGGCATTGTACGAAGACATATATTTGATTCAGGAAAAACAAAACTTCTTGATAGCGATCTCATAATAGATCTTTCTACTTTAAATCAACATAGGATCACATATGAAGAAAGTATTTGGAGTACCATTAATTTTTATTAGTTAGTGCACTACCTCAATAAAGGCAGGTATATTTGATTGCACTTGTCAGACCACCATATTCGTCGACCATTTTTATACGAAACCTCTTACAATGTAGAAGTAAAATTGGTTGTTGATGCCGGCAAACGCAACATATCGCAATATTGGGACCAATGCACATGCTATTGATATAAAACGTCTGTGTATGTACAGATATAAATGTGCCGACGTAAAGCCTTAACTGAAAGCTACGACTAACAAAAATAGCTCGATATAATTTTTGACATGAGCACTACATCCAGCATAAGAAAAGAGCGATCGATACCGTCGTAAAGACGGGGAAAGATGGCAGGAAAGGTCTACGGTTTCTACGTTTATTTTCTTAAGTGTACGATGTAAAGATAATTGCAAGGCGCCAATCATTAGCGCAATCTTGAGACATGTCACTTAACAAACAAAGCATTTCGAGAAATAGAAGAAGAAGCTTCTTCCGCGCGTAGTTCCGCCTTTGCCGAACGAAAAGTTGGTCGGAAATAGAAGACAAGGTAGAAAAGTAGAAATAAAATGCCGAAAGGAAGTTCAGGAAAGGATAGCAGTGAGAATATCCAACTGGAGCCCCTATCTAGGGCCTCTAGGCAAAACGAATCTGCCGACACCACAGAAGACGTAAAAGCACCGCTAAGACATACAAGAAAAACATGTGATTTAGGTACGTATAACATGCGTTATTTTGCTAAATTTTGGTAAGTTCTTATCGTATGTGAATATTTTAAAGTAGTATATGTTCACGTTCGATATGCTTATGTAAAATGTATTATATATAAAAAAATTTTTGTGTGCTGTATCCATCAAGACACAACTGACGAAAAGCTGATTTTTAATGAAAAAAACAAAATGCGTAGAATAAATTTTATTGATGGGTTGCACAATTTTCAAGAAAAATAATTAATTTAAAAATTATATGTCTATATGTGTTGTATATTTGATTATATAGAATATATATAGCTTGGCACGATTTGCTGTACTTACTTATGTAAATCGTATTCTCCGCTCACGTGACTTCAGTGACTGTATTATTCAAATTTGGTAAATTCTGAATATATATGAATATTGCTTAGAAAGATGTTTGAGATAGTTTTCTTTTGATGTTCTCGCGTGTTCACTTAGACTTATGAATGCATTCAAATTCGCAAATTGATGTTCTTCGTGACTTGCTCTCGCTATGCAAAACTTCCGAAATTAACTTCCGAAAATCTAAAGATAGGTATTATCTTAAGCGAAAAAAAGATATCGGATTTGCGATCTCTTCAGAGTAATCTCTTCATAATTTATTACATCTTAATTTCTTTTTTTACTTATTGGCCGCGTGTTTAATTTATTACCTAAAGATGAGCTACCAATAGTACATGTTACAAAATTGAAGTGACTGAGAAAAAGGTCAATGTTTATATAAAGCACCGATCCTTTTGGGACACGTAACTTCGACGAACATATTCCAGCCGGAAAGTTCATGAATGTTTCAATGTATTTCGTCTACCGTCGCGAACCCATTTGACCAGATACAAAATATATTTCGAAGCAGTGCGAGAGAAAGAGAGAGAGAAAGAGAGAGAGAGAGAGAGAGAGAGAGAGACTCACTACGTTGAATAATTTATTATTTGAGTAATTTATTTTGTACAATGCCTATTTTTTGCAATCGAAAAATCTAATTGGAAGGAACCAACAGGCCAAAAGCGCAACGGGTCATAAGTTCAAAAGTTCAGTTGTTTATAGACATTCTTTCCCCGTCAATACTCATCAACATTTAAATTCTACTCTGCGTATTATTAGCTTTTAAACTTTGGTAGATATTTTTGTGAATGTATGATTTTAGAAATGTTATTTATAAACGTTGAATTTATAAAGAATAATTCTCTTTTGTTTTAATCATATTAATAAATTTTTTATCATGTTGTCGTGTTATAAAAGTTTAAGAGTTTATATTTTATTGTTCTTTTTATTGGCTATTCTTAGTATAAATCTAAGAATTCTACAATAAAGTTCAGAATTTATGAAACTTTTAAAGGAGATAGAGGAGTCAGATGCAGAACCTATTTTTGTCTATAGCTTTGATATTATAGCTCGTACTAGTAATCTATTTTATGCGATATAGTTTATCCTATTTAAAT